ATTGTTACGACAATCTTTACTCAATATAGTGCCAATATTATATTTCTAACATTGTATTGATAATATTGGTTAAATATAAATTAATCGACTTGTTTACAATGTTGGCTGCACTATATTCCCCCAACCTAAATCCAATGCTGGAAAATCTATATGGACAAGTCAAAATTGGTACGATATAATATTACCACTTTTAATCTAATACTGTTAGTACAATCTTTAATCAATATACTGCCAAAATTATATTCATGACAACCAGAACGATGTTTTTATACTATAGATTAAATATAAATTGATCGACCTGTCTACAATATTTATTTATTTATCCAATCTGAATCCAATACTGGAAAAACACTAAATGGATAATCCAAGAATTGGTATGGCATAATATTACCACCTTTAATCCAATATTGTTACTATAATATTTATTCAACATAGCGCTAATATTGTATTCACAACGTTGTATTGTAAAACCATGGTTCAATATAAATTAACCTGCCTCTTTACAATATTAGCTGCGCTACATTCTACCAATGTAAATGCAATACTGGAAAATCTATATGGATAAGTCCGTATTGGATTTAAAAAAATGTGATTTCTGCAATTTGTGTTGAGTGGAAATTTATTCAGGAAATCAAACTAGCTATTTTGGTTACAATTGCATCTACAAACTGTAGTGCTGCAGACCTTTTTACACAGGCATCATGCTGTTGCCGTATTTTTTGATGTGGAGAAAGCCTTCGACATGACGTGGAGATACGGAGTAATACAAACGTTCCACCAATGGGGATTAAGGGGGAAGCTTCCAAAACTTATATCGTCTTTTTTAAAAGCATCGTATCTTTCGTGTTCGAATGGAGAACTCGTTGTCGGCTTCTAGGAATATAGAGAACGGTATTCGACAGGGATCTACTTTAAGTATAGTACTATTTGTCATTGCAATCAATTCCCTAACCAGGTCTGTTTCTAATACGTATCTTTATGTAGATGACTTAACCATTCTCTACTCTGCACTTACTATGAGAGAAATGAATAGAACAATGCAACAGGCTATCGATAGAATAGTATCCAACTCCAACGAAATGGGATTCCAATATCCACTGAAAAATCTTACCGCATGCACTTTTGTAAGCTTAGAAAGCCACACCGCATGGTCCCATAATTTCATTGAGAGGTAGATACTTACAGTGCAAAAGCTTTGGTACTAATTGCCCTACCAATTATAAATGGCTGTTTAAATTCCATTAAGACAACAACTTTGAGTTATACAGGGTGTTACAAAAATGGTGGGCTGACTATATGCAGGCGGCTTCTACGACTAGAAATAAGAAAAAAAAGTCTAATTAAACATATCTCTAAAGTGGCTCGTTAATGAGCTACAGCTATACTGGAAGTTTTTTATTTTTTATTCATAACGATAACAATAAACGGAACCTTTATCAAGTAGGTAATCACTAAATTGAAATCAGACCGTTATCAAGTAGGTAATGCGCACTTTAATCATCTAAAATCTATGGTGTATTCTACTCAAGTCGAAGATGCTGAGGATCTTCGACAGAGAGTCGTAGACGGATGCCAGCAAATTCGAAACGTTCCAGGAATTTTTGAACGCGTGAGACAGTCCATGATCCGACGAGCTCAGATGTGTGTTGCTGCCCGTGGAGGTCATTTTGAACATTTATTATAATAATTTCAGTTTAAAAGATCCGTTTATTGTTATCGTTCTGAATAAAAAAAAATTTCCAGTAGCTGTAGCTCAGTAACGAGCCACTTTAGAAGATATGTTTAATTAGACTTTTTTTCTTATTTTTAATCGTAGAAGCCGCGTGCATATAGTCAGCCCACTATTTTTGTAACATCCTGTATAAGTTGATCAATTAGAAATATTTTGCATTTTCGACGTTGGGTCTTATTACCTACACTCATAAAATTTAATATAGTACGAAAAACTATTTCAACTATAATCTTCAAAATCCGTACTTAGAGATAAGCGGAAACCTTTTTTTTTAAATTTACGAAATCGTGCCCTTTTAAATGGTAAATACCTTTTCTATTTAATGATAAAACCTATGATTTAAATTAATAGATATGGAAAATCAACTCGCCCTACTTGATAAAATGTAAAAATAATTAATTTTACTAGCAGTGTTTGCTCATTTATATGATGCCTTACATAAACGTTGACAAAATTTCATTAATTAGATATCTTCTTTTTATTATAATAACCCTAATGTTATACAACGAAAACATTTAAACCTACAACTTAAGAGGCATCTACACCCCCCGCAAAAACCTCTCTAAAAGGTTTCGCGCAGTGTCTGTTTTTTCTTAAAGAACATAAAATTACGTTTATGTTTATTAAGGACAGATCGAGGATTGTATCTAATTTTATATTAAATAGAAACTTCAAATACAAAGCTGCAGAATGACAAAGAACTGCTATTTTAGACATTATTCAAAGGTTCGTATATTTTGAACAAACATTTTAATACAAAAAAAACTAGATACAGTCCTAGCATGAACCTTCCTGTGCTCAAATACATAGACAATAACTAAAAAAAAGTGTATTATATACCAGTAAATAGACACGGCTCGGGACGCCGCAACTGAAAAAGTTTACGAAAATTGTCATGAGAAAGTGCTGGCATCGTTTAATTTAGGTTACTTGTTAACACCCTTAAATAAATATTAACTCTTTTCGTCATTAGGTATATTTTGTTTGAGAAAAAACAGACACTTTTAGAGAAGTTTTTGCGCGGGGTGTAGATGCCTCCTAAGAATAATTTCCAAATATTTTTGATGGGTAGAAAGTGGAATGTTAATTTACATAGGTACTTAGTCTTTCTTGCCTATAATGACGGCAGATTAAGATAATTGAATTGATTTCTAATAAGTAGAGATGTTTACAGGATAAGAATGCAATTAACTATTATTTCACTGATGAGACAAATTTTGTTTACATCTATTGATCTTAATTACACTTCCATTGATCATTGGACGATATTCAAAAGAGCAATTTCGATTATGTTGTTATCGTTGGTAATTTTTTTTCTATTTTCTTTATTTCCTACTGGTTTAATTTTCTGATACCTAATTTAAAGCGAAAAAGGGGTAAATGATTATAAAATAAGCTTTGAAACTTTGTATCCTTGTTAACTAACACTGGTAAAACTGTACTACCTAGATGTCCTTGAATTTAAATCCAACTTTGCTGTGAAGAAAACTTGTTATTTAGGGGTAAATTTCTACCTACTACTTAAAAACATTTACATAAAAGTAAAATTTCGCATTCTTAGACCAACACGTACAAATTCCTTTTTCGTGTCACTTGTTAACATCTCGTATGCAATGCAATATCTAATCCAATTGTAAATGTTGTTATTAAAAACATTTTTTTAAATAAAGAGCAGTTTTTAATCAAGACATGTAACATCAGCGACTCATCGCTACAAATCACCGTGATTGAACAAGAATTTCGAATACATTTCCCTTCCACACAAGCGTACCTCAACTTTGTCATTGACAAAGATATCGCTACTTCTAATAAAATTCAATCCAGTACCTTTCTTATTTATGGAGTGATTTTTTCGAAAATTTTGCTGTCCTCTCGATAAAGGCAATTGATCATTTTCCGTCTAAACAAATCGAAATTACAGAGCATCATTTCAAATGAGAATATTTCACAACGAAAAAGTAATAGGTCATGAAACACATCCAAGGGTAGCTGACATTCGACCTGATTTTATCACCTGTAACGCAAATACGAAAAATACGCTTTAACCAATCGCTGTGCGATGGCTTTATTTGTTGTTCTTATTTATTGTTGTGGGAATGTGCTAACTATGAATTAAAAGGTTTGCATATTAGCACAGATCCTTCAAAAATCTCCCAATTATTGTAAAATCCAAAGTTTGATATACCTATTTCATTAATACAACGGTTTAAAACATCCAAACGTTGATGAAGGATCCCTTCATTGGCTTCATTCAACGATCCAAATCTATTTTATTATTAGGTCCAGGGACATTTCGAAATCAAGTTGGGGACGTCAATTGTTATCACAAAATTTAACAATTAATTACGCCTCTATTTATGTGATGTGATGAAACAGAGTGGATTTTGGATTAAGCTCGGGAATTAGATACTTTCGTGTGTGCTTAATCATAACCGATTGCCAATTTTGATACACCACCATTATTTTTGAAATCCATCCAAATTTTCTTATTGAAAATTGGAGACGTCTGTTTATACCGAATTTATTTATTAGCAATCACGTGCGGGGTTGCTATATAGACTGTCTGACACCAACTTAATATTATGGAAGATCAAATTTCATAGGCAGTTACTAATATTGTTTATTAATATTTCTTTTCTATCTCGTTTTTTTATACGTGTATCCTGAATCGGTACCATTGGGGAAGCGCGTGGCACATAAATTTATTTTTTTTTGCATTATAAAAGACGTAATATCGACATAGGCATACTTTTTCTAACGAAAGCGAAATTGCAAATTGAAACTTATCGAGCACTATCACTAAATTTGTGTTAAGCGCCTGGTTTACTTAAAATGAAATACGAATCACCTATTAAAGGATATTGAAAATAATGAGTTATTTTTGTATGTGAAATATTTCAGCATTTGAATGAATAAGAGTTCTTCGAAATAAACGTGTTTGTTGCAAATATTCCTGATTCCTGTTAAATGGTGAGGGAAGTTTCAAATATTGCAATTGTTTATCTCTAGTGCTAGTCAGCAGTATAGTAGCTAGTAGGCCAGTTCCGCTTGTCTACATTCGTTGTTTACGGTATATCTATCTAGTTATATTTTCCTGCTTTATTTTACAGTTACGTTGCGTGGTTAATATATCCATCATTAGTTACTATCGTTTGTGAGTTTTGTCTACTTAATTTTTGAAAGCTTCTCTGAACTGATTTTGTCTACGTATATATTAAGAAACATTGTGTTGGAACCTAAGTATTAATAGTGCTGTGTAGACTACAATATGGCCGTAAATCCTTCCAAGTAAGTATTATTTCCATTTATATTCTTATAGAAATAAGCAATTTAATCATTATTTATGATTTGCTGTTAGATATGTTGTTCTTCAACTAATTTTCATAAGAAACCGGTCATTATACTTGCACATTCTCTAACTTTATGGAGTTATAAGGGTGTGTCGCCCAAAATTGTTTATGTAACCAGCTAGAATATTATGGACAATATTATTTTCGAACTACGTTCTAAATAAAAACTATATTAGAAAAAATTAAATTAGGATTTCAACTCGGATCGATAGTAATAACATATAAATTTAGGAATTCAAAATTATTCCAAATTTTATATTGTAGAGCATTTACTTCTATACATTATTATACCTGTAGCTCTTCTTGCTAACATTGTGCAGTCAGTATCCTATAGCATCTATTAGGACACATTACTTAATTACTATTCTTGATATCAACTGTACTGATAACATTATGTGTAGGTACTGTATAGAAGCCCTACATAAAATATTTGTATTAGAACGGTTCTTCGTTCATAAATATTGATTAGGTGTAAAATATTAAAAGTGTCAGGAATTTAGTATACAGGGTGTTACATTTGAGATGTGCCAAAATAAATGGGGCGATACAGGAGACCGAAAGAAGCATTTTGTTTTTCAAATAAGCCGAGGGTCGCAAATGTTTCGTTTGGAGGTTACGCTTAAAAAAGTCTCTAAAATTGCATTTCTTTGTTAATTTTTATCTTGAGAACCATAAGGCGTATGCGGCACATGCCCTTTCCGATTTTTCCACATTTCAAATTACTTACGAATCTAGTTGGCAATTACGCACTTATGAGTTTCCAACCTACTCGAAGGAGCAATGTTCTGATGCGCATTTGTTACCCCGGTAAGGGGTGCACCATGTTGGGGTAGGAATTTTGGAAAAAATTTTCCAAAATCTGAGAGGGAATACCCAATATCCTATCACGGGGCGTGCCATCCTTCTTGATACGCCTTATGGTTCTCGAGATAAAAATTTATAAAGAAATGCAATTTTGGAGACTTTTAAGGGTAACTTCCAAACGAAACATTTGCGACCCTCGGTTTATTTGGAAAAAAAATGCTTGTTTCGGTCTTGTGCTTGTATGCTAATTTCCTGGAGCTTGCAATAAAAGCTTACCGATTCATTTCCAGGAAATCCTGGGACGTCGTTATTTTTAAGAAAGACAATTCTGTTTATCACATTCCCTCATCCTGGGCTGTAAATGATGATAAAACAATATATTTGTGGCCAAAAGTACCCATATCAATATTGAAGCATTCAATAGAAGAATGTGAACCGCCTAAAACTTCTGTATCCTATAAAGAGTTGGGCGCCGTTTATAAAGGAACAAGGAACACAATTGCTGCAGCGAGACGTCTTCAAGAAACTGTCATAGAATCACGGTCAACATCCAATGAAAGCGAAAGCGGCTCTAGCTCTGTTAGATGCGAAGAAATTGAGGATTCCTTTGAAGAGGAAGGAAACGATACATCGGGCAATGATGATGACGATACACTGACATTTAATTCGGACGAGAACAACAAATCAGAACTAGGTAACTATTATACTGCGTATACAGTGTGTTCCATTCTGAACCACTTTTTCTTGAGATTACGATGGTGCGACTGACAAAGCAATCGTAGGTCCGGTTACCTAGATATTAAAAAAAATTAACTTTTTTTAAAATTGAACTCCTTGTACCTATGTTTTTGGATACTTTTAAAAAAATGAAATTCACTTAACCATGAAAAAATTAAAATTAAACGGACTACATTTCATTGAGGTTACTGTTATTAATTTTTTATTTAATTAATTATGAAATAAAGGTGGCCGAGACTTTAAAACAAATGAGTACAGATGAGTATTTCACGTTTAGGGTAGTTATTAAAACATAAATTTAGGTAAGGGCTGAGCATGGAAGAGCAGAGCTTGGGAACGGTACCGTTCTTGGGCAACTGAACTTCGCCCCTTTAAGCTTTAGATTCATTTTTCTTACATTATTTATTTTAATTTTTTGAAGAAGCTTAATAAATGCCATTATTATTATATTATTATTACTATATAGTGACAAATTTCATTAAAAAAACCTAGTGGGGCAGTACTTTGCAACTGTGTAGAGTAATAGTATATTATTATACGAGCATATAAAGTGTGCGATTATGACACGAGGTGAAGTTTGCAACACGAGCCGAAGGCGAGTGTTGTAATTTTTCCGAGTGTCATAATCGCCTTTATATGCAAGTAAAATACGCTATTTTATCTACGACTATTTAATTAAATAGAAAATGCGGCATCTGAATCAGTTTGAAACGTAGCAACTTCATAGCGGTAGCGCAATGTACGCCTATGGTTTGGTTTGCGTTCGTTCATTCGTTAACGGTATAACCTCAAATCTAATTCAATGTATCGCAATGTACCTAAGTGGCGAACTAAATATGCAATTTATCTTAAGTTCCCAGAAGTCATTAATTCAACACATAATTACCTACACGTAAGATTATTGCTAATATAAATGGTTGTCATTCATTTTTCATTGTTTTAGATTGTGACATAACCTATGGAAGTAAGGTGGATATTTATGTGATGTAACTATGTACAACTATTCTCTAAATCCGATCGCAAGGTTCAATTATGCCTGCAGAAATTGTTACACAGCTGCCAAATGGAATACAATATTTTGTTTCGCATACATAATCTAATTTTTCAAAGCGTTACGCTTCTCCGACCTGCATCCAAGAAGTTTCTTCCTCTTTTAGAAACGAAGTTTAAGCAATGAAAGCATAGTTTTATTGCAAATTTAAGGGCAAGAGGTGTTTTTTATTAGTTAACGTACATATTGTAGCCATCTATTTAAGTAATTTGGTCAATGCCTAGTATGTAAGACCTGTTACGAATTATCAATTCTTAAAATACATCATGCAAAACTGTGGTTAAGTGCTACGACAATTTGTATCCTTTATTGTCAACGAGTGTACAATATGTTATTGTTTTGTATCGTGGCACAATTTCGACAATACCACATATGTTGTACGAAACATATTTCTCTTCGTAAAAGGCTGAAACTTATAGGTTATACCTAGCATAATCTTCAAATGGGGCTTCCGATAATCCATTATGCTACAAATAATGCCTTGTGAATATGAAGGTATAGATACTTTAAATACAAACGAAAACCTTATTCATGCTCATGCAGAATATTTGTATCAGCGAAGGTATCTGTCGTTAAGTAACGTTGCCTGAACTTGCCAATGACTTCAGGTATTTTACAAGTTTATTTCATCCCATTTTATAAATATCGCACATATCTCGTCATAGGGGTGGATCAAGTTCCTGTATTAATTGTTTTTCAAATAAACCTACAAAGTTAAGCGTACGTAACCCGAAATCTCTCATTTCTAACCTAAGAAATGCTTAATTCAAAACAAAACTGACAGGTAGTACATACGAGATGGGCGGTTCTATTTTTAGTACATATGCAATTATGAACTTATACATATGCAATTATGAGAAATATATAGTGACATAAAGTAGTTGTATATAAGGATTTTAGAGGAACCGATAATAATGCATATCATAATTCGCTAAAATATAGTGACGTTATTTGAGCGTTATTTAATAGTCGTAGATAAAATTTAATATTTTCAAGTTTGCCAATTTATTGCAATGCAACTCTTATGTCTAATCACATTACTTCGGACGTCATATAAAAGCTACATCCATGTAGAATACGTAAAAAGCAGTAGCCTACAATGTTAAACACTTTTTGCAATAGGTCTTTCAATTTGAGTGACCCAATGAAAACATAATAGTTTAGACTTTTTCGTTATTATCTCGGTAGACGCGCTTGGACAGACCTCATGTTATGCATTGCACAAAATCTACTTCTTTTTTGAGTAACTAATTTTGATAATGAAGAAGATTCGTATATAATTATGAATACGATGTAGAATGGGTAAGAATTTTATTTTATGATCTTTTAGCTCCATCGAGTTCAGCTGTGTACCGATCTACATCAAAACTACAAAATTCAAAAGCACAACGCGTAAAATCTGGCAGTTCTCTTCCCAAATCTAAGGGTATTAAATCATTAAACAGATGCCCGCAATCAATTAATTTCTCTTCCACGTTCAGACGTCACAATAGCTACACCACAGAGGAACCCTGCATCCAACCTTCGTTGCTCGCTTACGGAAGACCGATATACTAAATTAATGAAAGCAATAGCCGGAATTGAATACGATTTGAAGGAAATCAAGTCTAACCAGACACGGCTTGAATCGTCCGTTGCCGCCGTTATTGCTTCCTCTACCATTACGCCTTCCAGAATTTCAAGACACTTCGAGTTGCCGACAAGGAATCAAGAGGGATTGATGAAACTGGAGGAACAAGTTAAGCAAGATACAGAATTTGAAAATCTTGTAAGTATAACTGACTCTCTTTAAGCCATAATGATCAATTTTTGTTTCATACTTTTCTAGGTGAAGATTTTGGCACTAGTAGGAGGTGAAACGCCTAAGAAAGCGACCTATCAAATTATGAAGAGATTGATGAATAAGGAGCTCAGTCTATTATACTCCGCATTTGGAAGAAAAGGGAAAAAAAATTTCTCATCACTAACGTTGTATAAAGCAGTTTTAGGTAAGCTATTTTAAATTTGATTATATATCATCTATTTGATTACTGTTTTTTGTCCCCAGAAAGCGTTCGTGTGCTGTTTCCGACGACTTCAGATCAGGACATTAGTCGCTTTATCAGCACATCCTTGGCCACAGCAGCGGATCGCGAAGGGGGCCGAAAATCTCGTGTTACCGGCGTAAATAATCATGATACAATGACCCAAGCAGATTAGGTACCTATTCACTTATTGTAGTATAATAACATTATTCTTTACTTTATTCTTATTACCTACATAGCTAATTTAGTTTTAAAATTTAAAATTCATTATCAAATATGCCAAGGTCTAGAAAATCCATGTTCATAAAAAGACACTTGTTAGTAACACAGCTGCCGAGTTCATCTAAAAGTTTAGAACACGACGTACACCCTGTTTTCTCTGATTCTAAGGTTCACATCTGTAAATCTCCTATAGAATCATATTTACCTTGTGTGTCTACCCTTAGTAACGATGTACTTTGCCAAACGAATTTGCCTTACCCACCTACTCCATCCATTGAGACAATTTCACCAGAAACAGGAAAACAACTAAACAACTTGCGCAATGAAACAATTTCACAAAATGCTTTAATAGAACCACTTAAACATTCTATCGAAAGTGATCTAAGAAATTGGGCTCTGATAGAAAATGTCAATCACAAACAGTTAACCTCATTATTGTCCATTTTGAGACGGTATCATCCGGAGTTACCAAAAAGCAGCAAAACATTACTAAAAACCAAGAGAAAGTTTTGTTCTAAATCCATGCTGTCTGCCGATAAATGTAACGGCGAATTTTTTTATTTTGGGATAGAGAATGGCATACGTCACCAATTGCTTAATGATGACATTAGATCTTCCTTATTTACATTGGAAAATTCTTATCACATAGAACTAGTTTGTAATATTGATGGTTTGCCCATATACAAAAGTTCCAGGTCTCAGTTCTGGCCAATATTAGCTAAAGTTTTTAAAAAAAATTACACCTTCTCTCCATTTGTTGTTGCCCTGTTTTTAGGAAATAGCAAACCGCTATGCCTGAAAGATTATTTGAATGACTTTATTACAGAATTCAATAACCTTTCAACCAATGGGTTTTTGTACGAGGGAGAAAAAATTACCTGTTCTTTAAGGTACATGGTTTGTGACGCACCGGCAAGGTCTTTTTTAAAAAATATTAAACCTCACAATTCATACTTTGCGTGTGAAAAATGTACCGTAAAGGGTCGGAGAATTGAGAGTAGGATGTTATACCCATTGGATTATAATTGTGAATCTCGTACAGACAACGGATTTCATATGCAAGTGCACGAGGAACACCACAAGGGTGTATCGCCCCTAACTGAAATAAACAACTTTGGACTGGTGTCTGGATTTATTCTGGATTACATGCATATGTCATGTTTGGGAACTATGCGGAGGATGATTCAATACTGGTTTAAACCTATTTGGAAATGTTCCATCGCATTAAAGTTTAGGACAGAAGCTAGCCGTCGAATGCTTAAAATGGCCCCATATTTTCCAACCGAATTTAACCGGAAACCTAGATCTTTTGTAGAAATAGATATGTGGAAAGCGTCAGAGCTCCGAAGTTTTTTGTTATATACGGGACCTGTTGTAATGAAAGATTTATTACCTACCTCAAAATATAAACATTTTCTTTGTTTTCATGCTGCAATGCGCATTGTTTGCAGAGGCGTGTATTCGAAAACTTTAGGTAGAACTGCAATCACACTTATACAGAAATTTATTTCGGATTCTCAGAGGTTATATCCAAATTTAGAGCCAATCTATAATACCCATTGTCTTCTTCATTTAGTCAAAGATGCAGTAAGTAACAATTATAGTGTAAATGATTTCAATTGCTTTGCATTTGAAAGTTACCTAGGGAAACTTAAAGGTATGTTGCGTAATAAAAATCGACCTATGGCACAAATTTATAAAAGACTTATGGAACAGAGGCAAATATCTCCCAAACCAATGAGGCCATTTCAATCGTCTGTCACTACATCTTCTGGGCAAATAAAAGATATTTACATCCGCAATAAGCTAATATCAACAAAGATTGTGCGCGATTCATATGTCATTTTGAAAACGGGCAAAATTATGCAAGTCGTGGAAATTTCGGAAAAAGCAAAAGATGAGTATGCTTTGATAGGACCAATTTTTTCCGATGTTGCACATTTTTTTATATCTCCCATACATTCATCAATTTTGAATTATTACAAAGTCCAGCATTTGGGTAGATATAAATTTACCGCAAGCTCGGCAGATGTGGCTTCTAAATGCATTGTATTACCACTAGACCATATATCCCAAAGTGAATATTTTGCTGCAATTGCTATGGTGCATGAATGAAAAATTTGTATTTTACACATAGGTGTCCTAACTAAAATTTTCATCAATGATAAATCCGATTGTCCATTAACAAGAAAATGGCCCCTGCAATGCGATGTAAAATTTGATCCCCTTATAATACAAAATTCAACTATTTTCTTTTTTATTTCGAGAATGGCATTTTTTTTAGAGGGGTGCAAATTTTACTTGGGACAGAGAATTTATGCTTATATGTTTTAAACCTGCAATTTTTCGTTTGGTAATATCTTATACTTTGCTTAAATAGTAAATTAGGTCGTTTTTACGGATGTTTGTAATAGATATTAATAGATGTTGTGTTTATCTTAGATAATTAATTTTAATATATCTTCTATGTTGTTACCCTTACTTACTCTTTTATAATAACATATTTTTTGCAATTTATTTGTTATTCATAACTACCTAATTCTCAATGTTGACTTGTCAACAATTCTGTGATTTACAAATGTATTGAATATATTGATACAAGTAATTTCAAAATTTTGTAACTACTCCAACATTATCCTACTTCAAAGTTCTATGTTTTTCCATATAGTGCTTCATACTGAATGAAAGTTGTGAGACAATATCTCGAAGACCGTGTTAGAATTGTCCAATCGTACGTATTTAGACATTCATTAATCTAAAATGTGAACATTCGGACTTAATAAGACTTAATAAGACTAAATAAGATTGAATATTTACATTTTATATTTTATACAGAAACATATGATATTGGACCAATTATATACAAAACTTTGCACTCCATATGTCCCCGATATTTCTTCACAACCTTTATTTTGTCTGATGGTACATGTGAAATTTATATTTGAGCAATTTACTTTTGAACCAACATGGTGGAATGCTCACATTTCGAAATTTCCCCAACATCCGTATACAATCTTGATTCAATATTTACGATAATGCTTGGTACAATGCCAATAATGTATATTTGACCAACGTTGTCAAATATTCACATTTCGATTTTTTCCCAATATTGGTTTACAAACTTGATTCAATATTTATGCTATTACTTGGTACAATATAGAATTACTTCATTGAACCAACGTAGCCAAACGTTCTGATATCAAAATTTCCCCAATATTGCTTTACAATTCTGATCCAATGTTTACAATACTTCTTTTTACAATATATAAAATTTACATTTGGGCAATATAGAAGTCCTTTATCAGGCCAATATAGCAGAATATAACATTTCGTAATTTTCCCAATATTGATTTCCAACATTGATTCTATATTTATTATACTGTTTGGTATAATATAAAAAATCTGTATTTGGACAATATAGAAGTAGGTTATTGGCCCAATATGACTAATGTTAACACAACCAATATTGGTTTTTAACATTGACTCTATATTTATCATTTAGATTGGTACAATAGGTGCTTTCTTTTGCTTTTGGATTTTGAATCCAGATCAGTGCAGTTCCGATCGCAACTTCTGAACGTAAAAAAATCAAAAGAACATGATTTTGTAAGGTTGGGTTATTTGCGATAGAATCAGTTGCAAAAGAACGTAATTCACGTCTGACATTTTTTATTTGTTAGGTTAGTAAATAAACCAGATGGATATTAACAAATTTGTTTTGGTAACAAACCATTATTATTTATTACATTCCTGACTATCGTTTATTTCACCTTTAGGATCAATTGTTAACCCCAATGGATGCAATGAGTACTTCAAGTAGTAATAGTAGTGACGATGATGAAAGGGACAATCAACATAAGAATTAAGGATTATGTTGAAACAATAGTTCTGAATTATACAGTGGATGACTTTAAAAGTCATTTTAGAATGGATCGAACTAGTATTTCCACATTAATTGAACGCTATGATCCTAATGTCTCACTCAAACAGGGTGGTTGGCCTCGTGTTACTAGTACCAAGGCAGTGTTATTGACTGTGTGGTACTTGGCTAACATTGAAACTTTCCGACAAATTGGGGACAGGTTTGATGTCACATTAAGTTGTGCACATGGTACTGTAAAAGTTGTTACGGAATATCTTATTAGGATTAGTGGTGACTATATAAAGTGGCCTACTGATGTTAAAGCTGTTGATGAATCTATAAGCTTTGAAAAAAAGAAAAATATAAGTAATGTAATTGGAGCCATAGATGGAACCCATTTTAGAATTAATAGACCTAAAGTTCACCCTGAAGATTATTGTAACAGGAAAGGATACCATAGCATCATTATGCAAGGGGTTGTAAATAGCAAAATGGTATTTATTGACATTTATGTAGGAGAGCCTGGATCTATGCATGATGCTAGGGTTTTTCGACGTTCTGCCTTATATAAAACAGCAACAGAAAATCCTGCAGACTTGTTTTATGGCAAATACAAATTAATAGGAGATTCTGCATACCCTGCTTTAGACTGGTTGAGTACTCCAAAAAAGGATAATGGTCATCTAAGTAATGATGATAAAGATTTTAATTACCGGCACTCTAGCACTAGAATTGTGGTCGAAAATGCGTATGGTCATTTAAAAGGTCGTTTCAGGAGGCTTCAAAAATTTGATAATCTTACGACAAGTTTCATAATAAATTGTATAGGGGCATCTTGCGTGTTACACAATATATGCCAAATGCGTAAAGATTTTAATGACGATATATTTATGGAAACTGTATAATATAATAAACTAATATCTAATAACATAAACACAGCTAAATAAATCTTAAGAAACTTATTATCAATTCTTTTAACATAAAAAAAAACTTATTGTGAATCTTGTTCGTTTGCCATTATCTTTAAATATTTTTCCAATAAAGTAACTTTTTTTTCTTCTAGTTTAATTTTTGCTTTTTCATATCAACAATAGTGTTTCGGCATCAGACCAAGATGCTTCGCTTGACTGTGAATCTTCACTATATGTAGAAGTACTGGGTGTAAGGTACCTTTCTTCTGGTGACTTTTCCACTACAGTGTTTTGCAAAGTTTCCTTATGGTTATTTAGTAATTCTTGGGCAAAAATCATATCTAAAAGCATTAAAATTGTAATTATTGACATTTTTCATTTAATTAAAACCTGTTGTGGCGAGATTATAATCCTCCTGGGATACAACAATATCATAAACAACATCTGCCTCTTGTAAGCTTAATGTTAAGTTTCCACTTCCGGAGCACATTTTGGCAAATGCAACAATTTTTGCAAATAAACAAGAAATAAAAAGTAAGGTTAGAAAATTGCGATTGAATCCGTTGAATCTGTTTGAAACTTTGATTTGGTGCGGAAAGGGGAATGCGGATCGCGTTCCGAAAACGAGGTTAAGGGGGGATTGATCGTATTGGCAAAAGAACGCGTTCATTTGATCTGAATGCGACATAACGTGCTTGGATCGTAAAATCCGTAGCAAAAGAAAGCGGTTAATATGTTAGATTTGTATTGGCGCAATATAGAAATACCATATTGTACCATTATCGCGTAATGTTCACATCGTATAATTGGGCTAATATTTGTATTCAACATTTACCCAATGTTTTTCACATATTGAGCTAACATTTTACCAACATTGGTGTTCCACCTGGGAGGGTGCCCATTTAGCACCTTTATTATTCCTAGCGTTCATAAACGATATAAAGCACGTTTTTAAGTTTTCCAATTTTTTATTATTTGCCGATGACATTAAAATCTTTAAGCCGATTCGTTCTATACACGACTGTTTGCACTTGCAAGAGGATTTAGACTCACTTTCCGCTTGGTGCGTTTCTAACCAAATGACCTTAAATCCAATTAAATGTTTTTCGATCACGATTCACAGAATAAGATGCCCAATCCGTTTCTCGTACGTTATCGACGGATTTTTTTGCTTATTCGGCAAAATTCCATAACTGATTTGGGTGTCACTTTTTCTTATGATTTTACCTTTATATGCTTTATATGCAGCCAGGCACGAAAGCAACTCGGATTTATAATTCGCAGCGCAAGTCAATTTCGAAATCAATTAATCTTCAAATCTCTGTATTATTCGTATGTTAGATGCACCCTAGAATACTGCTCTCAAGTTTGGTCCCCTTATCAAGATACCTACATTGTCATGGTGGAAAAGGTACAACATAAATTCCTCCGTTATTTTTGGTATAAAATGGGTTATCTTGCTGAAAACTTTTAGCATATCGTTGCTCTGCAAAAATTGAACAGCAACACTTTATTGGCTCGAAGAAGATGTTTCGATTTGATTTTTCTCTTTAAACTGATTAATGGTCATTGTGATAATTCCTTGCTGCTTCAAACAATAAACTTTAATGTACCCGAGAAACATCTTAGATACACTCACCTTTTCTCTATTAAATCCTCCAAAACTAACTATCTCAAAAACCTACCCATTGAGAGATTTATGTGTTTAGCTAATAGTTATCCATATATTGATCTATTCAATGTTTCTCTAAATTTACTCAAACAAAAGTTAAAATTACA